CCACTGAGCTTTATAAGTGGGACTGAAGAATTGATATACTTTCTAGCTATCTTATTTGCCTAGTCCCTCATTTGCTTCCTGCTAATGTTAATTTTTGATAACTCCATTGCACTCCAATTTTCCAAAGTTATTGTCTTCATTCCTTTCGCTAAAGACAGATTTTAAATGAGTTTATTAGCACAGCCATTGCAGAGGCATTGCTGATTTCACCCTCCTCTTCTCTGTGGACTGGCCCATCTTTTCAGCTCCCTCTCCCTGTTCATAGCCTCCAGAGACGGCTCAGGGGAGGAAACGCTTCTTCCCTCCGTGTCCCAGTTTCCATGGATGAGGGCCCTTTGAGTTAAATTGACAAAAGACTGATTACCAAGAGAAAAAGAGTTGATTAACAGGTACAGCGCACATGCACAGGGGCAACTCGGAGGATGGTTAGAACTTGGGCTGGGATAGCACAGAGGATAAGACATCTGGAGAGAGAAAGGAAAAAGGTTTTTGGCCTTCGTGGGTGGCAGACTGTGGGAACATAAACAGATGAGGCAAATTAATGGAAGATAAAGTTGATTCCCTGAATTTCTTATGTAGATTCCTCCTGGTGCTGTGCCTGGGCTGATAAGAGTCCGGTGATTGAGTTGAAGTCTGCTCTTAGGGGCAGGGCTCAAAATAATCCTTTTACATGTGGTGTATTTTAGGGCAACATATCCTCAGCATTTTGAGAAAAGCATTTTGGGTTCTCTCTAGTTCCTCCCAGTCAGGTTTGGGAGCAGAACCACCAGGCTTGGAGCCAGGAGATGCAAAGGGCCATGTATAAGGGTCCTGGGCCAGCAGCTAGGTGCTGGGAGAGTGACTGCCTTTCTTTGGAGCTCAGCGGCCTCATCCAGTTAAGCTCAGGGGTTGGATTTAGAGCTAATCTCTAAGATTCATCCATTTCTCTACATGTCTGGATGGGTCAGGTTGTATTCAGGAAATGGAAAACATGCCAATTATTCCAACAGATGGATTTAATGTAAAAATTATTAACTGGAAAACTGAAATGTTTTTGTTTAGAAGTCTCCTGAGGTCTTGAATGCAGGGAGCTGCTGCCACTTCTAGGAATGGGAGAATAAAGAGAAGAGATTGGGATTATTATGATTTAGAAGCTCAGAGAAGGGGCCTCAGGAAGCTACAGCTCAGGTCTCTGGAGAGTGGGCCCTGGCAGGCTGGTGCTGGTGTGGGTGAGGACAGAAGGGCAGGGTGTGGCTGATTCTGCTAACCAGATTCAGCTGCTGCATTGTTGCTGTGGGGTGAGGAAGTGTGACTGCTGTGAGATTTATGAAACCAAGAGCACAGGCCCCTTTCTTCCTTCTCTCGCCATTATGCCTCTGTCTAGTGCCCCCTGGTGGGGGGCCTAGCGGGGAGTGGCTGGCAAAGCACACACAAAGCAGGGGCTGGAAGGGTGGCTGTGGGACTGAGAGACAGTAGCTTAATAGCTGGCACGATGTTTGTTGCTGACACTGCAAACTGGTGGTCTAGAACAGGGGTCCCCAGCCTGTTAGGAACCGGGCCACAGAGCAGGAATGAGCTTGAATGTAATGAGCTCGAATCATCCTGAAACCATCCCCTCCCCACCCCTGGCCGTGGAAAAATCATCATCCATGAAATCAATTCCGGGTGCCCAAAAGGTTGGGGACCACTGGCCTAGAAGGTTCACTCAGACTTTCTTACTGGAGGTGGGTCACAGGGTAGCCGAAGATGGTTTTAAGATGCCCTCCTCAGTGAGTAAGGCCATCCTGCTAGACATAACTCGTGATGGCTCAGACTGAGCAAAATTCAGTCTGCAGGGAACCAGATGTTGGAAACCCTTGGTGGTCAGAGCCGCATCAGGCTGATCAACCCACAGGGTAGCAGGGAACACTGATCCCCACCTTATTACCATACAGTGTGACACATTTTATGAGGTGGATTCGCAGATCATGATTCATTTTCTCAAACACAAACGTCAGCGACCTAATATAATGGGAAATGGTTCAGTACATCTTCCAAGCTCAGGGCTGAGGAACTGGTGACACAGGGAGAGGGGGAAATCCTCTCTGTGAGTCCTCCAAGCATGCAGAGAAACCTCCCCAGGAGCACAGCCTCGGCGATTTCCCCTAGATACCCCCATGTTCAGCCTCACTTAGGTTTGGCCCACATACCCCATTTTGGTGAAAACTTCCTGATCCGCCTTATTTTCAGTTGCCACCTTCCACCCCGGCTCTCCCTATTTCCCTCCCCCGTGTTCTGTTTTGTAACACCAGTAGCCCACTTACTATATATTTTACTCACTTCTTCGTTTATCTCTTTTTTCTCAACTAGAATGTAAGCTCCACAAAGGCAGGGATCTCCTTGTGTTTGCGCCCCACCGTATCCCCAGTGACTCAAAGGCTGCCTACCCAATAACAGGCATGTGATAAATACGTGTAGACTTATAGGCATATTTCATGAAGTAATATCATATGCTGAAAAGAAAACATGTTTTGTGACTTTGAGCAATATAGAGGGTGAAGAGTTACAATGCAGGTGAGTGAAGAAAATCCTAGTTTATAAAAATCTTTGACAATACCTAGTTGTCATTTCTTTTCATTTAGTGTAATAAAATAATAAAAGAAGGAACCTGGCTGGTATAGGTGAGTGGATTGAGTGCAGGCCTGTGAAGCAAAGGATCACTGGTTTGATTCCCAGTCAAGGCACAAGCCTGGATTTCGGGCCAGGTCCCCAGTAGGGGGCATACAAAAGTCAACCACATATTGATGTTTCTGTCCCTCTCTTCCTCCTTCCCTTCCCCTCTCTCTAAAAATAAATAAAATCCTTAAAAAAAGTTATCTAAAAAAGTAAATAAAAGAAGGAAATATGGCACCCCCATGTTTATTACAACATTATTTACAATAGCCAAGATATTGAAACAACCCAAATGTTCATCCCTCGAGAAATGGAATATTATTCAGCCATAACGGAATGAAATCTTGCTATTTGCAACAACTTGGTGGGCCTTGAGGGCATTATGTTTGTCAAGTGTAATAAGTCAGGCAGAATAAAACAAATACCATGTGATTTCACTTATATGTGGAATCTTAAAACAAAACAAAACACCAAGCTCATAGATACAAAGCACATGTTGTCTGCCAGAGGCAGTTACGCGTAGGTGGCTGAAGGGAGTACTGAGGTACAAACATCTAGTTATAAGATAAATAGGTCATGAGGCAGTAATGTACAGGATGGTGCCCATAGTTAATAACACAATTTTGCATTTTTTGCAATTTGCTAAGAGGTCTCATCACAACAAAAGAAAATTCTGTAACTGTGTATGGTGATGGATGTTAACTAGACTCCTTTGGGTGACCATTTCACAATATAAACAAATATCGAATCATTATATTGTACACCTGAAACTATGAATATGCTGCACATCAGTGAACTCTTAATAAAAAAAATAAAAATAAATAAAATGAAACCAATCTGTTGCTGGGAAAAGAAACCACAGCGTAGTTCAATTTCTCCTTTTGGGGACCTACCTTCAAAGTGCTGAACTAGCTCATTGCAGTTTTTTGCTCCTTGTGGGTCCTTCCAGGCACACATCTGCATAAATAAGACATCGGCAGGTCCTTTCTGTGGAAGACAATTTGCATTCATTGCTTGATTTGCAGTCAAGGCTGGGCCAGGGCTACTCAGGAAACTTGCATGCATCATTTTCTCTGCATGAAAGACATGGTGCAAAGTTTTCTCCACGGGTTTAGTCAATACCATATATACTTAGCACCGTCATGGTGATTGGTAAGCACTCAGTATTTAATAGGAAGGAATTATTCACATGCTTCTGGAGATTTGCCACCTCTATAAGGATGCTGTCTTCCACCAGAATACCATCAAAGTGCCTACTTTTATACGAAAGCTTAAATGAACTGATTTTATTCTAAGGCAAGTAGTAGTGTTTGAGAAAGAACAGCTCATTGCTACTCTCTTCCACATTCCTGAAAGAAATATGAAAACTGGCTGTAGCTAAGAAAGGTCCTTTTTGGGTATTTAATAAAATTTGGGTGTTTTAATAAAGCAGCTGGTCTTGTTGGCAATTGTTGTTTTTCATTTGCACCATTTTCTTTCTTCCCAGTGCTCTCCATACTTGCTTTGCCACTTCTCCCTGGACATTCTCTCTCTCTCTCTCTCTCTCTCTCTCTCTTTACAGTTTTTAAAATTAAAAAAAAATTTGCCCTGGCTGGTATGGCTCAATGGATTGAGCACCAGTCTGCGAACCAAAGGGTTACCAGTTCAATTCCCAGTCAGGGTACATGCCTGGGTTGTGGGCCAGGTCCCCAGTAGGGGGCGTGTGAGAGGCAATCACACATTGATGTTTCTCTCCCTCTCTTTCTCACTTCCTTCCCCTTTCTCTAAAAATAAATAAGTAAATAAAATCTTTAAAAATTTTTTTCAATTATAGTTTACATTTGAAATTGTTCTGTCCTAGTTTCAGGTGTACGGCATAGTGTTTGGGCAATCATATACTTGACACAGTGTTCACCCTAATGTTTCCAGAACCCCACCTAGGACCAGAGCTATTGCAATATTAATTACTACATTTCATAAACTGTACCAGCACTTGTCTCTTTAAATATGATCCCACAGGTAAGGAGATTTGCAGTAAAAACACTTTTTCTCACTTAAAAATGAAATCACAACATTTCCTGTTTCTGCATGTTATGCATCTAGAAGAGTAACATTTAAGAAAGAAACATCAAACCCAGTTCTGGTTACCTTTGATAGTATATATGCAGATGTATAAACGCGTGAGAATATCTTTTTGAATAGCATTCCCAAGAAGTTGAATTCGTAGAGAACTTCTAATTTGCCACGAACATCCATTGCATTCCACCTTTTTTGTTGGTGATACGGAATTTCTAGGATGTATAAAAGGGGGCGTCGGGTTTTCTAGAACACTGCACAGTCTCTCATGTCTTGTCTTCTCTCTCCACCCTCTCCCCTCTCCTTCACAACAGGGCTGATAGTCTACCTGGGAATGATGGCGGGGGCCTTCATCCTGGGGGGCCTGGCCGATAAGCTGGGGAGGAAGCGAGTTCTCAGCATGTCTCTGGCCCTCAACGCCTCCTTCGCCTCCCTCTCCTCCTTCGTGCAGGGTTATGGAGCCTTCCTCTTCTGCCGGCTCATCTCGGGCATAGGGTATGTAGTCTCAGAGCTTCAGCTGGGCCCCCCTAGACCAATGGTCCAACCATCCTGGAACTCCAGCGCTGAGGGGTACCTCCGGAAAACCCTGGACTGGGTTCTTGTTCGACTTCCAAGATACTATACTAAAGTCAACCTTCGAAAGCGGTTAGGTTGTAAAGTCAGTGCGCAGAAGGTCAATATAACCTGGCACTGCCTTGGCCAGTCTTTGAAATTCATTCGGTTGTTTCGCCCCAGAGCCTAAGGGTCGGGTATAGGCAACTTGGTTTCTGCTATGACCATTTTCAGTGTATGATTGATTCTTTGTTTCTGGCATTTTTCCCCCTACAGTATTGGCGGAGCTCTGCCCATTGTTTTTGCCTATTTCTCCGAATTCTTGTCTCGGGAGAAGCGAGGGGAGCACCTCAGTTGGCTGGGCATCTTCTGGATGACAGGGGGCATCTATGCCTCTGCCATGGCCTGGAGCATCATCCCACACTACGGTGAGCATGTGGCTCAAAATAGCCCAGAGGCCTTGTTTCAAAGGCACCTGCCTCCCGGTGACACTTTCTGTCCTCAGCCTTATTGCCCTTATTCACACAGTTCCTCTGTATGAATTCAATCTTTCTAAAAAAAAAAAAACAAACTTCCACCACTAGAGACACATTGCTGATTTCCATACCTGTGTTTCAGAAAATAATACAGCCTGTTTTCCCATCTCCCACCCCGCCTTCCTCCTTTCTAATTCTCTCCTTTCCCTTCTTCTTTTTATTTGAAAGGATTTCACCTATTTCCTCAACCCTCCACCCCCCAACAAGTTAGGCTTTGGTAACCCCATCTTAGAGATGAGGTAACAGAAGCCAAACAAAGCTAGTGCTTTGGCCAAGGTCATGGCACTGGCATGACCTTGAATCCTGTTGCTCCCCCACCAGCCCCAGCTGCTTTGCAGTACTCTTGAAGACTACAGAAGCGGAGCAGCCCCTACAGACAAGGTCCTGATTCAGCCAGGACAATTTTATTATCCCGGATAATTGTTAAAGTAGATTTTCTAGGCAGAGACCTGGCAATGTGAACTTTCACTGTTGGTTTTGTGAAAAGTAAAGTAGGGAGAAGGCATCAGTTTGATTTTGAGTATGACTTCTCGGTATCCCAGACAAGAAATACTACCAGCCTCCTTCAGAGTCATTTTCAGAAAAACCACTGATTATGGGTGTAGGCTTTGCCGTGGTTTAGGACCTGCAGAGGGATGGGGTAGCTGAAGCTAATCAACCATTCTCTACTCATTCACCTTCTTGGTGTCCTTGTTTTACATGTGGTCCTGTGTGTGTTCGGAGCTAACAGAGGCTCCATCTATAACGTTTAAAGAAGTCTTAGTGTAGACAATGCCTCTTCTATTCGTTAAGATGAAGCTGGGGGCATTAGCCTGATAACCCTCTCAACCCTGAAATCTTAGTGGTTTAACGCAGTGGACATTTCCCCTTCCTGTAAAGTCTGGCAGATGTCTCTGATCTGCAGCTGGCAATGGAAGCATTTACATGGGGAGCATGTTGACCCCATGGCAGAGGGGCTGCATAGCTGCTGACGGACCACTACTGGTCAAGAGTGGGGTTCTTGATAAGATATTTTACCCCGAATGAACAAGGTGATTTTTATTTGTATCCCTGTATGAAATCTGTGATTTTTATTTGTATGTGTGTATGTATGAAATCCTGCATTTAAAAATGCAAGCCTCTTACAAAGAGTTGAGGGAACAGAAGTGAGAATAAAGAAGGAAATGGGTGGTCAACAGGAGGCAGTGCTGGGAGTAGGGAATAGAGTAAGACGGGAAGAAAAGGAGAGGTGTGAAAATAGACTGCTGTGAGTGGTGTCAGTCCTGGGCAGGACCACAGAACTAGAAAACTGAGACTGCTCACTGAGTTCTAAGCCACGTGAGAGTAGATATAGCGTCCACCCCATTCTGAGCACAGGGGCTGGCATATAATGAACACTTAACACACTTTGTTAAACAAGTAAAACAAACAAACAGACAAACAAACAAAAAACAATAAGCCTCTTAGACGATTTGGCTCAACTGAAACAGGCGTTACCTCGGGGGAAATCCATCCTGGAAGTGTATGGTAGACGTGAATCACAGTGAAACAAGAGTGATGATTTATTTTAAGCCTCCCTTTTACCAGGACCAGATGTTTTGTCCACAATGAAGCAGACATTTGACAGTATTTCTCAATACGCCTAAGACATTAATCCTCTCACCGCACCCCCCACGCCCATAGCAGGACGAATGCAGGGGTCACTGCGGAGAGGAGGCTGATGTTTGTGCACGGCTTGTGCAACCCGCTTAATTGCTTTTGCAGGGACGAAGTGATGGGAGGTCTTGGCCCCAGGAATTGGGTGACTGAGTCATTGAGAAAGAGAATTGCAAAACTCAGAATGTTTTTCTGGGAACTCAGGAGCAAAAAAAATGTATATATATTATGGAAGAGTAATTCTCATTGCAGTCAGCTCCACCAGCTGTTGGTGAGATCCTGACACAGAAAAGTAGGGCAAGCTGAAAGACCAGTGAGCAGAGCAATCCGTCTCCAAATGAATGGCCGTCCCATGTATCGAGGCGGAGGGGGGCAGTTCAGTACTTAATTTTATTAATTTAAGGCCCCGAGGATGTGCCTCATAAACGTGGTTAGTGCAGATTACTAAAATCACCATAAAAACCATAGGGGCATGAAGGGATATTGGATTTGGGATAATTTAAACTTATTATCATAAAAATCTTTCTGAGACAGGATACTTCATAAACACACGAGCTTCTGCCCTTCCCTCGTTATCTCGCGGAGATGGGCCCCTATGGCTTTGGTCCGTTTTGCTTCTAATTCTGCCAGAATAGTTTTTGGATGTGAGTAATAAATATGGCTGTGGCTTTTATCTTCCCAGTGTTACTCTCAGGAGAAAGGAAGGGCTTCTTAATTAAAATGAAGGCAGACAACCCAACCCCAGCGAGATGGGAGGGAGCGGAGGCTGCTCTGTACGAGAGGTGTGATGGCGAATGTCAGATGATGTGTGTGCCATGTGTCAAAGCCGCTGCCGCTCCACTTTCCCCGCCTGGGGTTCCCTCTGACTCGTCCTTCCGTTGTACTGACAGAGTCAGAAGTATCTGCAGAAGCAGTAGATATTGGCTAGCAGTCCACAGCAAGAGGAACCACTCAAAGCACAATGGGGATTATTAATGGAGAATTCAAGATATCAGCGGTCCACTGCCGTTGGCCTTGTGGGATATTTTTTAAGTCAGTGGGAGAGTGATTTTTACAGTCAAATAATGATTACCTTCTTAACTTCAGAACTCAATGCATTTATTTCTAAAGTTTTGGTTTTTGAAAAAATGCTGCTGGAATGGTCTTCGGAGATACTTTGGGTGGCATGAGAAAATCAGTTTCTTTAGTTTATAACCTTGGTTTAAAAAACCCCAGTTCTTTTGCTGATCTCTGCTGATATTCACCTATTTTACTCAAAATCTTTGGCACTAAATGTCAAGCAGCTATTTCTACAGAAATCGGAGCTACCTTGCGAGCAGGTGAGTTGGCTGCTGGAAGTGTTCTCACTTCGCACATCTGCGCAGGCATCAGTCATCGCCTGCATTTTATAGCTGTGAAAACCCACCCGCGCAATAACAATGTGAGAAAACCAGAATTTGAACTCTGATCTGTGGGACTGTGAAACTCCAAGCTCTTTCCACCATGTGACCGATCCCTAACAAGGGAAATTTGTGACCCATGAGGATATTTGAAGAATGTTTTATGCCCCTGTCTGGTGTGGCTCAGTGGATAGAGTGCCAGCCTATAAACTGAAGGGTTGCTGGTTCAATTCCTAGTCGGAGCACATGCCTGGGTTGCAGGCCAGGTAGGTCGCCAGTGGACGGCATGTAAGAGGCAACCATACATTGATATTTCTCTCCCTTTTTTTCTCCCTCCCTTCCCCTCTCTCCAAAAATGAATAACATCTTTACATAAAAAATAGTGTTTTGTGGATCCTTAAAACAATTTCTCAAAATGAATTTTGGAAATACTTTGAATAATGAAAGCAGAATAGGATCTGGTCACTGCTTTGCTTCAATGATGGTAGAATTTATTTGAAAAGAGAAGCTCAGTTTCCTTCAAATAACAAAAATAATATAATGACTGACAATGGTTTCAGAAGTGTGTTCTTGAACCCTGTGTGCTGGGATCACCTAGAGCTGATTCGGCCCTTTGACTCCAATAAGAGGAACCCTCTGTTGAAACATTTGGTCATACAAGGCCATGCTCTGGCTTTCCTCCAGCTGCCTCTTCCCATGAAGCAAGGACCCCATGAGGCTAGGACCCCATAACATCTGATCCTGCTGTGGGGTCTCAGGACCCAGGAATTTCCACTAAAATCAAGGGATCATGGCAAGGATGCCCATTGTCACCGTGGGGGTGTGTATGGTGTGTGCACACATGAGAGCACAGGCTCCTCTCTCTGTGGGAGTGGGCGGGGAGGGAAAATAAGGGGGTCCCACAAGGCTGGGCCCTGTGCAGTGCTGGACAGGGGGCTAGAACATCTGTTATTGAATAGGTTGTTAACCTGAATTTCAATGGCTGTGTAGGAGTTGGGATGTTGCCTCTGTTTACACTCTCACTGAAGGCCCGTAAATGTCAGCCCATGCCCACTTGGGGCTTGTAAGGATGCAGACTCCCAGCATCTATCCTGGATGCAGAATCAGAAGCTTTGGGAGCGCAGCAGGAAGTCCCCCTTTGAATCTACTTTCCAGGGGGTGCTCTTGTGCCCTGCAGTTGGAGAGCCAGTGCTTCAAGGTCACCCTAAGATGGTGTCTGAGATCCTTGAACTTCCTCTCTGCAGGCTGGGGCTTCAGCATGGGCACCCACTACCACTACCACAGCTGGAGAGTGTTCGTCATCGTCTGCGCTCTGCCCTGCACCGTGTCCATGGTGGCCCTGAGGTTCATGCCGGAGAGCCCACGGTTCCTGCTAGAGGTGAGCCACTGCTCCGGCCCCAGGTGAGAGCAGGAGACACCTCTGCTTCCTCTGCCCCATAGACATTGTAGGTGGACATCACTACAAGTCCACCTCCCTTCGCCTCAGACTCGGGTTTCTGCACTAACCAGCAGAGGGTTTTTCACGTCTCCTTCCTTGGTTTTGCCAGATGGGCAAGCATGACGAAGCTTGGATGATTCTCAAGCAAGTCCATGACACCAACATGAGAGCTAAGGGGACCCCGGAGAAGGTGTTCACGGTGAGTGTGTGGTCACCTGTGCCAGCAAGAGCGGTCCTCTCCGCTTTCCTGGTTTGGTTTGCTGAAAAATAATTTTTTTATACAAGCCCATCACAGAAAATGTGTCATGAGATGAATAAAACCCCTGACATTCTTGTCACTGCGTTGTAATTAATTCTTTGCATTTTGATGGTTATCCCTCTTGGTACTGATAATTATTCAACAAGGGAAGGAAGCTAGCTGTATTCATGTGGGAATAACATAATTATATGTATTTACAGACACGTTGTACTTAAGAGCTCTCATAAGCATTCTATGTGTTCTCTCATAGTGTTCATAACCATCCTCTTAATGAACATTAATAGTAAGAGCATCAACACAGTTTTTCTAAACATGTCCCTAAGGTTAGAGATTGATGTCTCCCATTTTATTTTCTTCTTCCCGTAAATGTTGCTGCAGTGAGCCTTTTACACACACGGTTCCTTCCCCTTTCTTTACGTTCTGGGTTTGTTTTCAAAGAGTCGATGCCTAGAAATAAAATGACTGGTTGTGAGAGCTGGGGTGTTCTTACGGCTCTTGAGATAGTGTTGCAAATTATATTTCAAGAAGGTTGTCCCAGCCTACAAGGCCACAAGCAACAGGTTACTCATTTCTTACCCCCATTGGCTGTTAGCCTGAATTTTGTTTCTTGCTAATTTGTGAAGTTCAAACATTACTAAATGGTAGTTTCCATGAAGACGTCCTGCTAGTTACCAGGATCTGTCCATTTCCTCCAGAAGCCTTCCTGGATTAACTCCCCCACCTACATGGGGGTGCATATATATTTTTGAATTGGTGTTTTTGTCTTATTTGAATCAGTACCCAAAATGGAATGCTGGATCATATGGTGGTTTTAATTGTAATGGTTTGAGGAACCTCCATATTGTTTCCCACAGTGGCCGCACCAATTTACGTTCCCACCAACAGTGCACAAGGGTCTCCTTGTCTCCACATCCTCTCCAACACTTGTTATTTCTTGTTTTTTGATAATAGTCACAGTGTGAGGTGATATCTCATTGTGATTTTGCATTTCCCTGATGATTAGTGACCTTGAGCACCATTTTTCCGTGCCTATTGGCTATCTGTATGGCCTTTTTTTGGAAAAATGTTTATTTAGATCCTCTGCCCATTTTCATCAATTCTTTGTTGTTTTTTTTGCTTTTGAGTTGTATGACTTCTTCATGTATTTGGATGTTAACTAGTTATCAGATACATGATGTGCAAATATTTTTCCCATTCAGTAGGTTGCCTTTTCATTTTGTTGATGGTTTCCCTTGCTGTACAGAAGGAAGACATACTTTCTCTTATCTTGTTGTATTTTTTAAATGTCCTACATAGCAAACTCCACCCAGTGCACGCACACGCGCGCGCGCGCGCACACACACTACTTCCTGCATAGGTTCTAGACTTCTGTGATGTTAACACCCATTGAGGATAGACTTGTGACTTTTAAGGCAGCAGCAGCCCTACTGTGAGAAAATCAGATATAAATGGGAATTCAGTGAATCGTGGCCCACTAACTTCCCAGAGGCATGAGAGAGTGAAAAGACTGATTCATTTTTGACTACAGTGCGATAAGTACCCCAGCGAGATGCTACATACATCTTTGGTCAAGAGTCACCAAACTGCAGGGTCACTTCTCGCCCTCAACGAACTAATAACGTCCGTTCCATTTAACCGACAACTGAAAGGTCTGGTACAAAGTGGGGTTAAGGTTCTCTCACTCATCTTTGCTTTACAGGTTTCCCACATCAAAACTCCCAAGCAAATGGATGAATTCATTGAGATCCAGAGTTCAACGGGAACTTGGTACCAGCGCTGGCTGGTCAGATTCAAGACCACGTTCAAGCAGGTATGACTGGGAATATGGGGTGGATGGGGGGGCCTCTGTGGAAACCTGTAACCTGAGTGGATGAAGATTAGAAGCCTTGAACGCCCACGTCAACCTAAGCCAGTGCGATGGGGAAGAGGCGCCCTGTACGGGGGTGTTTGGGCGTGAGCCCCTTGACCCCCTCTCTCTTGCTGTGAGCCCTTGAGCCGGAAACTCTGTAAACCTTAGTTTCTTCTCTTTGCCCCTCGTTTCCAAGGGAGAGATTTTGAATTTAGGTAAAATGTCTAGTCTGAGTAAACATCTCTCTCGAGTGTCTTCTTTTTAAATAATCCATAGGAAGAAAAGAGCAAGTGCAATAAATGGCCCCTCGAGGTTTGCTAGTGGTTTCTGAGAAAGTCTTCACGAAGGGCAAGGCCGTTTCTGCAAAGCAGTGGCTCCTGCAGGCCCATCAGTCGGCTGCTGCGCACCGAGGCAGCTGATGGCCAGAGCCTGCCGAGACTGGATGGCCTGGGTGTGTGGTCGGGCAGTGTTTGGAATAGCAGCCCATTCCCGCAGGCAGGGGGCAGAACTCAGTACTTAAGCTTGTCCAGTGCCTTGAAATCCCCACTCACATGCATGAAATATTGTATTCCCAGGAAAGATGCTATAGGACTTTTGGAAGTCAAGGCCAGCCAGTAAGAAGAGAAAAGGCTTTCCTTGGAATAGAATCACCACATCTGGGAGATAATCATTGCCCATTCTCTCCATGACCCCCTAGACAGCTCATTAGAAAGCCTGAGAAATGAGGTTCCTTTAACAGCCCTTCTCCGGTGTGGATCATAGGTCTGGGATAACGCTCTGTACTGTGTGCTGGGGCCCTACCGGATGAACACGCTGATTCTGGCCGTGGTCTGGTTCACCATGGCTTTAAGGTAAGTTCTCGCTTACGTTCACTGACTTCTCTGTGCTTCACGTGCCCCCTCCATAAATTGAGGATTATGATTGGTTCTGACTCATGGAGTTCAGGTTGGATGCTTTGGGCCGCAAGTAACAGGCAAGCCATCTAGGCGTGTCTGCCACGAGGAAATTTTTTACTCTTGTCTTGTAACAAGAATTCCTCGGGCTGCGGGAGGAGTTTCAGCCTCTGGCTGGTTCTCATTGTGAGTGCAAGAGGCCTGTGCCCCTCTTGGCGTTCTGTCACAAGGACCGTCTGCAGAGCCGCCCTTTTGAACAGTGACAAAGTTCTCAGGAGACGTGTGCCACACACCCAGGGCTAAACCAGCGATTTCCACCCAGTGTGCAGCAAGAAGTTTTAAAACGTGCAACCCCTGACTATCTAGTCAGGGGCATGGATCTCTTTTTCCTTAGAGTGTTAAATTAAAAAAAAAAAAGACAACAGCCAACACAGCAATGGCCATCTAGTGTGAACGAATCAAAATTATACCCATATTTTTTGGTCAGATTGGCAAAAAATATATTTTTTGGTGTGCCGAAGAATTTTAGTAATTAGTTTGTGTGTGCCACAAGAAGAACAAAAATGGATAATTACTGGACTAAAGTGATCACTGGTAAAGGCATGTGATTTCCCAGTGATTCTAGACTCATGAGGATTTGCCTCTGAGCTGACAATCTCATTAGTCTTCTTGAGGGTTGATGGAAAATGAAGTGTCTCTTCCCAGAGAAGAAGCGAGGAGTGAGTGCTGAGGAGGCAGCCATCAGCGCCACTGTGAATATTAAGTAGGGAAAATGGGGAAACTCTGCAATAATGGGCCCTGTGATACGGAAAATGAAATATAATATGACCGGTGATTAGCTGGCTCTTCTCCCAAACGGCAGGCTCTCATGTCAGTCATTTCATTCACCTCCAAGTAATGTGACCCTTCTTTCCGCCCAAGGTTCGGGGCCCACTTACAGCAGCTTGCGGCTGTTTAATTGTATGTAGTAGTGCCTGCAGTAGTTTCCGGCACATCATAAGTGCTCAGTAAGTTACTGCCACCAACTAGAAACTTCCAGTGAGATTTTACATTCTCATCGGTGATATTGCTTTGTTGCCAGCCACCCATGACCAAAGACATACTCCCTGGACCCCCAAAAAGTGAACTCGGCTCTAACAACCTCTACATATTCCCCTTTGCCTCTTATATGCAATCATCTTTTATTTCCTATTTACCATCCCAGTGCTTATTTTTGCAAATTTAAGCCAATATGTATACTTATTTCTTCCTCATTTTCTTATTCAAAGAAACATATCGTTGCATCTGCTTTTGAACTCTGTAACATATGCTGGTGATCTCTCCTACGAATAAATGGAGATTTTTCTCACTCTTTACAGCAGTGTAGCACAGGTGCACCACGCTCCACAGAAAAGTACCTCACTTCTTTCAGCCAGGGATTTATTGCTAGACTCTTGGGGAGTTTTCAGACAGTGCTACCATGAGTAACTGTGTTTGGGGCTACTTTGTGCCATGCGAGTTCATCAGTGGAATAGATTCCTGGAGATGGATTATAGATTCAAGTGAGGTAAATCCATAAGCAGTTTTTTTAGACATTGACCAATCATCCTCCATATGTTATTGTACAATTCTGTCCTTTTTTCAGCAATGTAAGAGACACCTGTTTACCCGTAGCCTCACCACCAGGATGTTTTGGCAAAATTTGGGGGTGTTGACAATCTGGTAGGTGAGAATGGTAACACAGTGTAGTTTTTAATTTGCATTTTTCATATTGTGAGTGGGATTGGGCATCTTTTTTATATGTTAATGGCCCATTTTTTTTAGTTGATTATCTTGAACTTTCCTGGTATAAAATCATATCATCTCCAAACAGAAGTAGTTTTACCTCTTGCTTTTTTAGGTTTCTATGTTCTTTCTCTTGTCTAACTGAGTTGGCTAAGACCTGCAAATAGTGTTCAGTAGTCGTGGTGACAATGGGTGTCCTTGTCTCATTTCTGACGTTAGTGGGAATGTCTTTAGTGTTCCCCCATCAGTAAGACTTTGCCTTTTGAGCTGCGATGTGTGTTTTCTTACATGTTAAGGGAGCATCCATCAGTTCCTAATCTATTGGTAGTGTTATCAGAAACAAATGTGGTCTGTTCATCAAATGCCTTTTCTGCACCTATAGAGATGACTATGATTTTTTCCCTCCGATCTGTTTAATATGACCATGTTATATGATTAGATTTCCTAACAATGGACCACATTAAGCATTTAAAGTGAGTGTTATCTACCTCCACTGAGACATGCAGACTCTGCTCACCGAAGGGATACAGCTGCTCAAATGCTCTGTCTTCTCTCTTCCAGCTACTATGGACTGACAGTTTGGTTCCCTGACATGATCCGGTATTTTCAAGATGAAGAGTACAAGTCCAAAATGAAGGTGTTCTTCGGTGAGCACGTGTACGGCGCCACGATCAACTTCACGATGGAAAATCAGATTCACCAGCATGGGAAGCTGGTGAATGATAAGTAAGTGAGAGACCATGGACCTTCCCTAGATCAGGGTCAGAGGCCTTGGGGACCATTCTTGGGAGAGAGCCATCGGAAAGATAAGGAGTCAGTAGGTGGCAGCAGAACTTATTTTTATGGCTGCCAGAGACACAGCAATGCACCTGGTGGCCCTGTCTTGGTGTATTGGGCTGGTCTCCCATCATGCCTGGTCTCCTGGCTGTAGCTGATCTGTCCAAGGATGGAGGCATTGCGAAGGGCCACCCAGACCATCCTCCCTGCGACTCACACTTTTCACAGAGATACGCAGGGAGCTGTGACCCTTTAATGCCACCAGAGCTCATGCTGCTGAGGTCCCTGTATCGACCCACTGCCTGGTTGTCGAGCTTTTTCTTTGATTCCGGACACTTTTTCAGGCGAAGACTAACATGACACTATCTTCTGTTATTCTTCTACCCAATGTTACCTTCAAGGACAGATCAGCCTGGCCTGTCTTCCTCCATAGTGTTGTCCTTTGGGGGAATGATGAGTAAAGTATTAGAAAAGTTTTGCCTACATTTAAAAAATTTTTTTGCTAAAGATTATTTACTTATTTAATTTTAGAGAGAGGGGAAAGGAGGGAGAAAGAGAGGAACATTGATTTCAGAGAGAAACATCAACTGGTTGCCTATCACATGCCCCTAACGGGGCACCTGTTCTGCTACCCAGGCTTGTGCCCGACCCGGAAGTGAACCAGCAACCTTTCGCTTTGGGACAACCCCCAACCAACTGACCCACACCAGTCAGGGCTCACATATTTGGTTTTTAACCAGTGGATACAGAAATTACAACTACTTGAAGCCCATAATTTTTCCTCCAGCAAATTGTTGAGTAAAAAGGGTGTTTTTCTGCTTGGAAGATGAGGAACCAAAATTGGTGTAATGAATAAACAAGTCTGGTTTCTTTTTCTGAGTTATGCTGCCATCTGCTGTTCTTCAGCTAGAAAGCACCCCATCTTTGAAAACCATAAGCCTCTTTGGAAAGTTAAATGGATGTTCTTCTGCTTGAGTGGGTAGTTTTCCCTTTGCTACCAGTATCCCTTCCTTGATTTTTATCCACACTTCTCTGATTTAAAATTTAGATAAAATTTATTTACTTTATTGACTGTTGCACTTGGGGGAAATGCCTTTGTGTAAAAAGAGATTCCAACTTGACCCAGAAATTTTGTCAATAAGGAGATCTGACTGCAACCTAAATGTCAGCCTCTTGTGGGGCCCCAGGAAGGAACAAAAGCACACAGAGGAGTTTCGACCTGCTCCCCAGGCACCTCCTGCAGCGTCCCAGTGCATCTCACGCAATCAGGTGGCTCTGCATCCTCAGGCTGCTTTTGCCTCAGAACTCTGAGCTTTTTGGGAAATGCCAGAAAGACAAAAGAAAAAGTTTGTATTTCAAACGCTGAACAAAAATGTCAAGCCAGCCTTTTTCTTTATTTTTGTTGTTCATTAAAAACAGGATAGCTTTTCATCCCAGAACATGCATTAACCAAGTAATTTATTAACGTACCCTCTCCCTTTAGGAAGAATTTTCTGCTTGGCAGGGATGGGCTCTGCGGGTTAGGATGGGAGAAGGGGATGTAGTGGATTTCAACCTCCCTGGACGGCAGGCGGATGTGCTTCCTGTTTGTGATAACTCGGGACCCAGGAAGTAATGTGGTAATCCCAAATTGTCCTCACAGCTCGAAGGGAAGTTGCTGCGTGCTGCTCAGGGTTAGAAGCTCCAATGGCAAGGAGTCATCGTCACACAAGACGAGGGGCCAGCAGAAAGTAGGGGGAAAGCTCTCATAAGTTCTCGTTGAAGGCCGGCGGTAAATAGCTCAGGGTGAAAACTAGATTTGTAAGATTGAAATCCGAAATGAGGAACGGCATCTATAGTAGGGCACAGGGAGAGTGGAGAGGGAAAGAAGGCAAACACACACCTTGGAGAGAAGTGGCTGATTTCACACACGAGGCTGAAACATTACACACTGCTAAGAGCTCCGTTTACTGGGGCACCGCCTAGAACTTCCCTGGTGGCGGTGGGCCTGGTTCAGTATGGTAGAGCCAACGGTGGGGGGTGTGTATGTGCGCCTCCTGGGTTCCAGGTCTGAGGAAGTAGCTGTGACTGGAGATACTGGGTATTTGGTATTCCAGTTTCCATGTCCATGCCTGTTCATGGGCCTTGCTTATTTTACTTACTGTATTGTCACTTTCATATTAATTTGCTTGATGTTTTACTCTGTTCAGGCTACTATGACAAAATACCACAGATGGAGGGGCTTACACACAACGAAAATTTATTTCTCCCAGTTTTGGAGGGTGGAGGTCCAAGTTTAAGGCACTCCTCTGTGGGGCCTCTCTTATGAGGGCACTAATCCCATTGACCAGGGCTCCAGCCTCATGAGCGAATCTCCTCCCAAAGGCCCTGCCTCCTAACACCATCACATTGGGTGTTAGGTTTCAACAGATGAATTTCAGATAGTTTCTAGCAAGGTGTTCTTTAAAATTAGTCATAAAAAGCAGTAGTCAATTATGCGTTTAAAATTTTTCTGACAGTGGCTTGTTTTTTTTAAATAAACTTTCAATTTCAGAACAGTTTGAGATTCACAGAAGAATTGCAAAGATAGTGCAGGAAGTTTCTATCTACCCCACACCTAGGTTTTTCTTATTATTAATATCTTATGTTACCATGGTACATGCATTGCAATTAATGAACCAATACCAATACATTACTATTAACTACATACAGTCCATACCATATTCAGATGCTTTTCATTTTTACCCACTTTCTTTTTCCGTTCCAGAAGCCCATCCAGGACACCATCTCACACTAAGCAGTCGTATCTCCTTAGTCTCCCCTCCGCTGTGACAGTTTGTGACCTCCTTTTTAGATTCTGTTTTATGGAATCCTTGCTCGTGCAGATTTTCTTTAAACACCAAATTTGTCATCTTTCCCTTTAAGGCTTGTGCCTTTTGGCTCTTCAGAAATCTTTCACATTCGAAGTCATAGAGTCAGTTTCCATGCTTTTAATCTACATTTTAAGCTTGCCTTTCCACATTTAGGTCCTTAATTTTTCTGGAGGTGGCCTGTGTACACAAGACAGGAACTAATTTGTTCCTTCCATACAAATAGCAAGTCGTCTCTACAATGTTTATGAAATCGCCTGTCTTTCCCCTAACGATATGCAAAAACACTTTTATCATATGTCAGTTTTCTTTACATGTATTATTGGGCTTCTGTGCTCTGGTTCCGTGGGTTTGTTTGTCTTTTCTTCTACCAAAGCCACACTGTATTTCCGGGAGGACTCGATTCTTTCACTGAGTGACTAACGTTTTTCTTGGCTGGTTTTTCCCCTGCGCTCTTCCGTGTGATTTTCAGGATCAGTTTCTAAAATTCCATTATAAACAGCTGGTTGGGGTTTTGACTGGAATTATGTAGAATGTCTGCATTCATTTGGGGACATCTTTATACTGGAGAATCTTCCAATTGTTAAACACTATTTCTCTCCACTTAGTTTTATCTCTTCCTTTCTTATGGTTATGATTTTATTCTTTTTGCTTCTTCTTGTATTGCCTTGTTCATGTCAAGTTCAGGGGTGGATAGAAGCGGTGCTAATGGGAATTCTGACTTCGGTGGGGCACTTTTGGTGCCTTACCTTTATGTATAACATCTACTCCATGTTTTGGTTGACATCCTTTACACCATTAAGAGAAGTCTCTTTCATTTTCGTCCTTCAGAATCAATCATCTCCTGTCTTTCCCAAATGGATCACATGTGCCCATTTTGAAGTGATTTTATAGCAATACAGTGACTTTATGATAGTGATATAATTATCCCTAAATCGTAACGGTCAGTTTTCTTGTTTATTTCTTTCATTAGACCAAGCTTCTTGAGGATGATGCCATCAAGGTGACTAAATAGATGTGACTTTTGGCATAGTTTAGATCATCTGGTGGACAAGCCCTGGGCCTAAGGGTAACAGAAGTATGATGTTCATAATAATAATTCTGCCCTAGACTCTGGATTGTCAATGGCTTCAGTTTCCTTACAAGAAAAGTTCCACATGATACTTTCGCTAACTTTTTTTTTTCAATCTTTGAAGTGTCCTGAATGAAAACTCTTGGACCCGTTCTGCATATAATTTAGAGATTGGAAGAGATGATTTATATGGAGACTCATAAAATAGACCTTGGCCCTCTCTCCTTTTATCTCTTTCTTTGTAACTTTGTCTTTTTATATAACTCACTTGGAGATAAGTTTTAAGGTCTGACTGCATTATGATTTATGGCACTGCTTTCTACCCCCTTTTGCCAGAATATTAAAATATCACAGAAGGCCACATCAGCAGCCTATTGCTATATTAAAGAGAACGAAATATTAAGAAAAGCAGAGACCTAAGATAATCTTTAGATATAGTTTTCCCGAGTAAACACATGCAGCGTACAAGTTACATTTATTTTGAAATCAGAGGCCTCTTCCTGTAACAAAAGGCAACCAATTAGTTTTTCTGCGGAAATCCAAAGAGTTCAGTAACAGCTTTCGGAGGTCTCTTTTTTAATGTCTGTAGTAGATTTGACCCAATAAAAATTATCCAAAATAATCTGGCTTCCTAGATCAATGACTTTCATTCTTTTTTAAGTATAATCAGCTGGTATCGGACTCTGGGGGTTATTGTTCAAGAGGGCACAGTAGGAAACTGCCTCTTCCATAGTAGCCTCCCATGTTACTCTGGTGCAGGTGGTCTGGGTACCTCTGAGAAGCACTTGCCCAGGTCTTTTTCTGGGTGGGAGGTCTTTTTTCAGAAGCTACTGATAAGTGTCTCTGGTCAGGGTTCTGAGCAGACTACATATAACATGAAGGGTGAGGGAGCTGGCCATTGTATATGGTCTTGGACCGAATTATCTGGTGGCCCTGAAAAGACACAATGACCCCCAGCACCCTGTGCTCCTTCTATCACTATGAGTCCTGCTGCCTTATAGTTGCCTGTTTGCTTTTCATCCCAGTGCCACTTGAGGGCAGGGCCTATGTCTTTCCTCTCTGTACTCACAGTACTGTGCTCAGTAAGTGTGTGCTGAAGACCGAACATGGAAATGAATAGATGAATGATCATCCATGGGTTACATGATGGATTGTAATTGCTCATGTCGGAAAACATATCCAGAGCTTTCTAGAGTACAAGTTTGGCCAAGCTTAGGGCATACAACCAATGGAAGGCGATGTCAACATTTCTCAAGTGCATGTTTTTTAAATGCAATATTGTTCTTTCCTCTTCAGTCTATGCTGGGGTTGGAGCAGTGCAGTGGCTCCCAAATGTGGCTGCACCTTTTAATCACCTGGGTGCTTCCTCCCATTAAATGTTCTATGTTCAAGTGAAAAAGTAATACATACACTGGGTACAAATGACCAATTAGGTTTATTTCTTTTCTTTTCTTTTTTTTAAAGATTTTATTTATTTCTCTTTAGAGAGAGGAAAAGGGAGGGAGAAAGAGAGGGAGTGACACATCGATGTGAAAGGGAAACATCGATTGGTTGCCCCTGACATGCCCCCTGCTGGGGACCTGGCCCGCAACCCAGGCATGAGCCCTGACTAGGAATCAAACCAATGACCTTTCAGTTCCTAGGCCGGTGCACAGTCTACTGAGCCACACCAGCCAGGGCAGGTTTATTTCATTCTTAACCCCCATCGAGCCTCCCCAGGGCCATGGCATCTGCCGGTTCCTTGTGTGGCATTCCCGATGTCGTCCCTGCATTTGGAGGCATGCGTGTCATATCCTGTCTTTCCCCGTGAGAGGTCGCAGGCTGTGAACACTACATGGCACTTGATGTTTTTTGGTTAATAATAGGTCTTGAAGATTGTTCCATGTTAAGACATGTAGAGCTACCTAATAGCTGTAACTGGCCGTGTGGCGTCCCACTGTATGGTATCTGTCTATCTACCTCTCATCTATCACATAGTCACTTCTTGTCATACGAAATGCTGCCATGAGCATCTGCCAGTGTATCTCTTTGGATGTATGAGCAAATACACGTAGGATAAATTATTAGGGGTGATTATTCTTAGGTCAAAGGGATTGCGCCCTGAAAATTTTTGCAAAATTTTGCTTTCCAAACAGGCGGCACCAATTATATTCTATTAATGATGTGCATGGAAGGGCCTATTTCCCCACATCTCTGTTGCAGCTATTTAAAAAATGAAGATTCTCCCAAATCTATTGCTTTTAAACTTACTAAGACCAGCTGAGGGGCCTGCAGGTTTTTAAAACTTCTCATAAGGTGCAATGCTACCAATGTTTTTATTTCACTGTGTTCACCTTTCTATGATTCCAATGCAGAAGGTCCATGGGCCTGCACTTGGGGACCATCAGGCTGATGCACAGTCCCCCAAGTGCACCTGTACTGGACACCAACTTCCACGCTTCTGAAGCCTTCCTCATTGACAAAACCAGCAGCTCAGAAAAGGGGAACTAGTCTAGGTTAAAAATAGCATTTCAGTACGTTTTGGTCTCCAGTTCTCCTTTTTCTGCCTTTCTCTGTGTTTCATTTTGCTCTCAAGCCTCCTTTTTTCTTGGATGGATCACTCGGGCACAAACATCTTTTCCACAGGTTCACAAAGATGTACTTTAAACATGTTCTCTTTGAAGACACGTTCTTTGACGAGTGCTATTTTGAAGACGTTACATCCACTGATACCTATTTCAAAAACTGCACCATTGAATCTACCATCTTTTATAACACAGGTAAGAACAAGCAGAGACTGGGGAGATTGTCAGGGGGTGGGCTAATCTTGTCTAAGAACCAAAATACTCAGCCATAAGCTTTAGGAACAGTAAAATATTCACAGAGAGAGAAGTGCTGAGACTTAGGATGGGTTCTCGCCCCAGGTATGGTGCAGGTGATTTGCACAGTCTTCACCAAGGCATTTGAGTTTTGGGTGTGTCCTGATCTCAGTGAGACCAATACTGTATGCAAATGGTCCTTAGAATGAAGTAGGACACAGATGAAATGCCACTCTAGGAGGGCTGTGTTTTATCCACAAAGTGCTTTCTTGAAGGCCTTGCCTCATCTGAAACTTGCAAAATGCAAGACTCATGGTATCACAGCAGTAAATGAAAAGGAAAAAAATGGCATGCTTTCAAGCTTCTTGCACGAAGTGAAAGGATTGTAATATTTTAAAATCACACCATTTATGATATCCATGATTAAAGAATCACAAAACCCCATCCATTCTCTCTTCTTGTGATTCTTACTACTGTCATCACATGTTAGTATCATACCAAGTGGACTCGGGGTATAAGGAAACTAACTGAGGATCACCAGCGGTTTCACCTCCATTGTCTTAAGTGAGAACTGTCCCAATAGCTCCATCCTACAGCTAAGGAAAACTGGGGCTGAAGTCCCTTGCCCAGGGCCACATCTAACAAGTTGATGGAGCTTGGATTCATTTCTCAACAGTTTGGCTCTAAAGTCTGTAATCTTCTCCCCCGAACTACATGCACTATGTCCAGATCAGCGCTTTCTCCCTGGCATCAGCACTGAGGGATGGTTATGTAACATCTTTTTCTTCCATGATGTCAGCTTCAGAGGCTCAACATCTGGTCTCCACATATCTGTGTCTCTGAATAATCTTGCCACGGGACTTAGCCTTCTGAAATGATTGTTTTAGCCAGAACTTAAAAAAAAATAATAGTTCTGTGCGTTCCTATTTATCATGGAAACCTGGCATATCTTTTCTTCTTTCAAGTTTTAATGATGCCTCTTTGTCTGCAAAGAGTTGTAGTCCAGAGATGTCAGAGCGGGGAAGCCATGGAGATAACAGGGGTACTCCTCCAACTTTGTAGGCGGAGGTTCCAGGTTGCTGAAGGTCAGTGCCCCAAACCCGGGTTTCTCGGGAGCCTATTTAATGTTACTTCCACCTGATTCCAAAGCAAATGGTTTCTGTTTTTTTAAGACTTTTTTTTAAGAGAAGTTTTAGATTTACAGCAGAATTAGAAGGAAGGTAGAGGTGTCCATAAACCTCCACCCCCAGAGTTTGCCTCCCCCATGTCGACGTCCCCACCAGAGCGGCACATTTGTTACAGTCGATGAACCTGCACTGACTCATCATTGTCACCCAAAGTCCATAGTTTACAACGGGGTTCGTTCTTGGTGTTGCACACTGTATCCCTGGTTTCTCAACAGTTTGGTTCTAAAGTCTGTAATCTTCTCCCGGAACTATATGCCCTATGTCCAGATCAGCACTATGCACTATGTGTGTGTTACACATCACACACTTGGTGTTGAACATTGGCTTGGACAAATGTATAGTGTGTCCATCATCATAGATCTTAAAGAGTATTTGTGCTCTTCTAAAAAATCCTCTGTGCTCCCCTGTTTATCTCCCCAGCCCTGGTACCCTGCATCCCGCCCTGAAATCCACTGGCCCAGTTATTTCTATTTTGAAGAATGTTCAGGTTTCCCTATGGGCTCTGGAGTGTTTGACTCAATCTGGCCCCAATTCTTCTCTCTTCAGCTTCTGTTAGCTGGGTAGCCTGGGAGAACTGGTATGTGGCTCGAGAGATGATGTATTTAAACAAGCCTCTCAGTGAATGTTTCATTTTCCCTCGCTGGTCAGAAGTGGAACAGGTCATTACATTGGTAGAGGTTTCTCACTTCATCCCTTGGCAAATGCCACACTGACTTTGAGACTCTGCGATTGCCAGAGGCTGGTGCAGCCTGTCCCTGGAGGGGGCATAACTTCATCCTGGCTCTGCCTGACTCCCCTTAACTCCCCCTCCACGTTCCATGAACCCGAGGTTTCCTTCTCTCCCCAGACCTCTACGAGCACAAGTTCATCAACTGTCGCTTTATCAACTCGACTTTTCTGGAGCAGAAGGAGGGCTGTCACATGGACTTCGAGCAAGATAACGACTTCCTGATTTACCTCGTCAGCTTCCTGGGCAGCCTGTCCGTGCTGCCTGGGAACATCATCTCTGCTTTGCTCATGGATAGGATGGGAAGGCTCAAGATGATCGGTGAGTGGACAGGGATGCCACCTCTGTTCTCCAGGGGGCTAAGGCGGTGACTTACAGTGTCCAGTGGAATTTGTCAGTGTCTTAAAGAGATCTGGCACAGGAAACTGCACAGGTAAGACGGAACCTGCTGGCGCTGAGTCAAGGAGGTACGTGGACCAGATCCCAGGGCCCCAGGGAGGCGGTCTGAGGCCTCTGTCCTGGTTCAGGCCAGCGGCTCGTCTCCACTTCCCGACTGAACGAGTCTGGGACAGTTGCTTATTTTATTAGCACTTTGGGAGGGACATTAAGCATATCCACTGCACATGCTTTGTAAGGCTATTTCCAGAAACATATATGAAATGCCCTTTCTTACATGAGCATTGGTTTTGTCTGATGCTTTTAAATGTTGCATATTATTGAACAGTGATAACACTTCGGGTTTGGGAGTCAGGCAGGACTTGCGTAGGAATTCTATCACCTACAGGCTGTTTGACGTTGAATGTGACCTTTTACTTTCTCCAGCCTCAGTTTTCTTATCTGTAAGACGGGAATACCCCTAACTAGCTGGTAGGTGTTTGTGAGGATTGAATGTGATGTGTTCAAAGCATCTTGTAGTACTTGGTGCATTGCAGATTCTCAAAAAAGGTAGCTGTATTCCAGCGTGTCTTGCTGTACTCTGCCAGGATTTGGAGCAGTTTATTACAGAAACTCATGCCACCCGAGGGGAACAGGAAGCAAAGTGTATATTCCCAGGGCCAGAGGAAATGTACATTAGAATGTGAGTCAGGGCCAGGGGTGGGAAAGCAGACAGCACACTGATTAATGTGCCATAAGATCTGACCTAGGGATGTAGTTGCTCAGTAAAATTAATTCCAAGATTCCTAGCAACGAAGCTCAAAGGGAAACAGAATAAATCACATAGACATTTTGTCAGGGAAGAAAAAATCGGTCAGGTCTCTACGGGAAGGCAATTTTTCCTGGTGTTGGGCTCCTGTTGAAAATTATTATTATAAATAGCATCATGAATATTCGGAATGGTGAGCACAAGAAATGCTTGTGATTTTAGCTTTTTGACCTTAGGGTGTGGGTGATGTTATCTGTTAGGCATGGTGGACTGAGCCGTGTGCTCCGTTAGAGGCAGTGCCCTGGTCAGACCTGAAGCCCACGGGGGGAAGGCTGTGGCTTGGTGACTCCTGTACAGCCCGTGCCCAGCCCCTGGCCTGCCACACCGTTGCCGCTTAACAGTGCTGCTGAGTTTGACCAGAACCCACGAAAATGGCCTCTTTCCTAGATTAGTCTGAAGCTCCCAGCTTTCTAGCAGAAGGTGCTACAGGATGGCGTCGTGCATGAGGCCGTGGCGGGGAGTCAGGTGGCCATGTCGGCCGACCTTGACCTTACAAGTCTGCACCACTTCCTTTCCTTGTCTGAGCTTTTGTTTCGTAATGGTCTCAACCAATGCCTCTGCTTGCTCCCATGAGAGAAGGTGTGTGAGGGTAGACCTGTGACTCTTTGCCGTTCTGTCACTGGCCTTTCTGAGTTCCAGGGTCTAACAGTGAAGTCTGTGGTCAGGTGCTGGCATAGCTGAGGAAGTTCTTTGGAGAGAGATGTGTACAAGCGGTGGGGTGGGTGCACGTGTGAACGAGAATGGCCCACTTCCCATGAGCAGCCGCACTGCCCATGTAGGTGCAGAGGGAAGTCTGGGCGCAGGAAGCAGGCAGGGAGGGAAAGAACGGCCACCCTTTCCTCACCTCTGAAGCCCTTCTTGTCACCGGGCATATATCCTTGATTTCTGTAATGCCAAACAAAGCCACACTCCCCAAGCTGGACATCCAGAACTAATATGTGCTCATTCTTCAGCTCTCTTTTACTAATGCATGTATTTTGTTTCTGATCTACATTGTTAGGAACTAAATCGCAAGCCAGTTAAGAGCCCTCTCTGTGTCCCTCTGTCTTTAGTGAGGTTCTAAGTGGCACGCAATGGACCAACTGGTGTCCTTGGTGCTCAGTGAATAGTGGATGCTCAGTGGCTGTCTCGGTGGGGTATGGGCGATCTGTTCTCAAATAGCCTCATCCACGGTCCTCAGACGAATCCCACCGCTGAATCTCCCGGAGCATCCTCCGTCCTGCCTACTCTGCCGCACTCTTGCCTGGGCAGCAGCAGTGTCTTGTTAACAACAGAAGGGAAGTTCTTCTGATGAGGCTGTTACTCCTCATTTATTCACTCAATACACATTTATTTATGCAGCACTTACCCTCTGCCGGGCCGTGCAGTCAGCGATGGGAATGCAGTAGTAATTGAGACAGATAGCATCCTTGTGCTTTGGGAGCAAATGATCTGTTGGGAGAGACAGGCATGAACTAGAAATTTCCTTTAACTACCACCTATGAAGTGCTTATTATAGGTCAGCCTGGGTTCTAAGCATTTTGTAAATATTAACACATCTAACCTTCGCAATAGTCCTGTGAGGTTGGTACTATTTTTTATCAACATTTTACACATGGGGAAAGTGAACCGGCACGGAGAGGTAAAATGACTGCCCCAAGGTCACACAGGTAAGGCTGGGATCTGAACTTAGAGTTCTCAGTCACAAGAGGAACAACAATTATGAGAGCAGAAGTACAGTGGGCCAGAAAGACATGCAAAAGGCAGACTTTACATGGTTGAAAGGTCAGTTCCCTGACTAGCATTTGATTTCTTTGATGACGATATGTGTCCTCAACAAACATTTGTCAGCATTTGTCAGCATTTCTCGTAAGCCAGGCCCCACAGCTGGCCATTTGAGGGACGCGTGAGTGCAGGTGATACATGGGTCAGCTGATGCCAGTCTCCTCGCATTCTAGTTTTCTCCTGGCCGTTTGGAAAGGCTATCAGGCCACCTGGTCACAGCCCTGTCCCTTCTAAGAAGCAGCACAATCGACATGCACAGTTATCATTTCCCAGCTGGCCGGCAGGGCTTAGCGCTAGGTGTGAGGGCAAGTTTTCCCACGGAGGTGCCCCCAGGAGGCACTTGTTGGCAATGCCAGGCCAGCCCTCTGGCTTCTTGTCAGCCGGAAGTCTTCCCTCCCGCAGGCTCCTCATGCCTGGAGGGGACTCTTGCCCGAAACCCCAGCTGGTTGTTTGGGACCTGCTTTTTTACCTCCTCGGGGCACAGAGTGGGGCTGAGAATGGCAGATGTGTGGGATGGGATGGGCGTAGATGGAGAATAAGCAGGTTTGCCTTCTGTGGCCCATTTACAGTTATGTTGTCACTAGAATGTAAGTTCCACAGGGAGACTTTGCTTTTTTAAATACAATAACATGTCTCGAGCATATAGACATGTTATGCTATATGTTATGCGAGCATGTCTGGCATATGATAGACTGTTAACCAGCCCGCACCCCTGCCTTGTCCCTAGTTATTCTGGGCTGGGAACGCAGAGTGACAGTTTTGAAGTTCTTCCCGTAGGCTAGCTCTGGTGATGTGACCCATGCAGAGGGCTCTGATTCCATGGCTGGGGTACCATGTGAGGGTGCAAGCTGCACTCTCTGTGGAGAGATGGACCTTTTGCTTACGGTAACCTGTCACTTCAGGTGTGCCTGTGAGGATGGCAGATGGGGCAAGACCTGTGGCTAACAGCCTTGCCGGCGGCACGGGCTTCATGCTCCTTCCGGCCCTTGACCTCCCTCCACAGGTGGCTCCATGCTGATCTCGGCAGTCTGCTGCTTCTTCCTGTTCTTTGGCAACAGCGAGTCCGCGATGATCGGCTGGCAGTGCCTCTTCTGCGGGACCAGCATCGCTGCCTGGAATGCTCTGGACGTGATCACGGTGGAGCTGTATCCCACCAACCAGAGGTCAGTTCTTCCCTGGGCTCCTCGCTGGCACTCGTTTGGACTTGAGCTAGAAACCTACCTGCTCTACGATCTTGCACCATGGTGACCTTGATCTTCCTGGAGATCCATGGACTAAGTGTCTTAGGATTTTGAGTTTCTCCTGTGTGGGAGCCAGCACAGACCTGGAAGTGGGTAGCCTAAGGCTTAATAGGATGCGGTGAATGGCAAGATGCAAAGGATGAGTGTAAACCGTGTCTAGGAGAGAAAAATAAGAGGGCAATACCATACGTGCCACGTCATCAAAAAGAGGTGAGAACAAACTTCCCATGGGAGATGCAGTGAGAAGGTGAAGAGCTAGGGAAGCACAGGATTGGGGAGAGGTGGAGAGAAATAAAGGTGGATGAGGCATGGTGGTCTGGGGCATTTGCAGAGAGTGTGACAGGCTGCCCTGGGTTTAATTTTATTTTGCAGAAGCCACGTGAGAAGAGACCTGGTTTAAAGGCATTAGGGCAAGGCCTTTACTTAGCAGTTATTTCTCTTCATAGAGGAGGAAGTGGGGATTTGAACAATAGCACCTAAAGGGCACCTGTGGTCAAAAAGGACTGTGAAGTGGTGTGGAAGGCAGGCAAATGGAATTCTGAAAAAAAAAAAAAAAAAAAAGCCCTAAACTGGTGACAGAGTTACTGGGATGTGGGTTGCTATGGAAAAGCACAGCATACCACCCCCTGAACCAAAGAACTCCTAAGTTTTACAAAAATAAAAATAAGAGGAAGAGAAGTGATCGTTATTAGCATGGGGTGGGATTTTACATGAAAGAACCACAAGAGAATTAACTAAAGAAAATACTAGAAACAATAAAGCAACTTAGTAAGGTGGTCAGTAATAGAACAAGCTGAATAATGTATAAACTTTAAAATATATTTAAAAATTAAAAATATCATTGAAATCCATTTAATAACAGCAGAAATCATACAATATCTGGGAATCAAACTGATGAGAAAGGTGAAGCATTTATTGAAAAAAAACTATGAAGCTTTACTGAGAGATATAAAAGAAGACTTGAATAATGTCAGGATATACCTTGTAAAATTCTAAGATTTAATCTTAAGAAAATGTCAAATCTTCTTTAGACTTTCTCTAACTTAAAAATGCCCCTTCAAAATTGCATGAATCCTCCTCTCAACCCCAAAGAACTTGAAAAAAAATTAACCTGGAGTTTATTTGGAAAAAGGAAAACTGTAAAAACATCCAAGAATATTCTGAAAACAAAAGACTAGAAAGGCAGCGAGTGATTGTAAAGGTCTAGTGTGGTACAGTTACCCAAAAGAAAATGTAAAAAGGAGCTTAAAGTATAAATACTTAGCCACATCCTTAATAAACTTGTGGTCTGAAAAAGAAACATTTTATTTCCGTTGGGGAGGGAGAATGTGGGAATATTGTGTCTGCGCACAGATGGAGTCCAGGAAGGACAGAAGGTCAATAATAGGTCATTGTCCCAGGCCCTGGGACGTGGGACTGAGGGACAATAATTTGGGTTAGGCTCTGCCACGGGTGACAGAAGCCCCAAACACTGTAGCCTTAGGAAGGTGGATATTTTATTTTCCTTTCCTGTAAACGTCCAGAGCAGGCACTGCAGGCTCTTTCTGTCTTATTCTCCTTCTCATGATCTCGGCCATGGTCCAAGGTGACACCAGGTCCCTGCCAGGAAGTGGGATGGAAGGAAAAAGGAGGGAAGAGAAGAGGGCAAAAGGCCCACTCATGACACCTCTAAGGAAGTTTCTCGGGAGAAACTCACTTACATCCCATTGGCCGAAACTTAATCACATGACCATACGCAGCAGCAAAGGAGCTTGGGAAATGTAATCTTATGCTTAGGGAAACACTATTTAGGGACAATAAGTGTCTAATTTATAAGAGGGTCAAGAGTAGGGGGAACATTTACACTTTCTGTGTCATCCTTCACCCTTTCAGCAGTTCATAATCCTCCTGTAATACCTGTGAAAATGTTAAAAAAGGATATATTTGAAAAGAAAAAGAAACAAGTTTGAAGGGAATACTCCACGATGTTAATAGTGGCGATTGCTCTCCAGTGGTGAGGTTATATATCGTTGCATCTTCATGTTAGTCTTTATTTTCCAATTTGACTGAAATGAGAATGTATTACTTTTATATTTCAGGGAAAAAAATCCCTCCCACACCTTCAGTATAGCTTCGTCCACAACAACGGAAAGAACCCAGTCCTACTCATCTAATAAAGCCTCGTTGGCGTCATTCAGAACATGCTTTCTTCTTTTACAGGGCAACGGCCTTTGGCATCCTCAATGGATTATGCAAATTTGGAGCCATTCTGGGAAACACCATCTTTGCTTCTTTTGTTGGGATAACCAAAGTGGTCCCCATCCTTCTGGCTGCCACCTCTCTCGTCGGGGGCGGCCTGATTGCCCTTCGTCTTCCGGAGACTCGAGAGCAGGTCCTGATGTGAGCCACCTGCGGGGACAGGCAATCTTGGAAGAACCTTTTCCAGGAACCTTCAATGCGTCCACACTTCTGTCGCCGTCCAGAGGACTTTGGATAGCACCGGAGGAGAGACTGATTTTGTGGCCCCCAGTTTTAGGACCCATTTCAGCTTCAAGATGTTTGTAACTCAGGTGACTGATTTGGGGGGTCATGAGCCACCCTGATAATCAGAGAGCTGTGTGCTTGGTTTCAGGTCTCCCCAGCCCAAGGCAGGGGAGGAGAACTAACCCCCTCCAGTGGTGCACATGCCGAGAGCAAGGAGTGTGCATTGCCACAGGTGAGGTGCAAGGACTTACCTGCAATGCAAAATGAATTCGAGCTTGAGAACACTCAAGCTCTTTCAAAAAGGTCCTTGGAGCCCAGTGGCCTACCAAATTGACTTGACGAGAAGTTAGAGCCATCCTATGAATGTTGGGCTTGAAGTATAAAACACATATATTTTTGCATTTAAAAAAAATCACCCATCACATTTTCCATTTGAAAATTGGCCCAATAGCGGCAAAGATACTCTGACATAGAAAACCAAATATCTGTGCATTATCTATAGCAACCTCCTACCCTCCCACCAAGTGTCCTGAGCTTTTCAGGATGATTAGATGATAAAATTTACGAATGATATTTATTCCTATTTTGATCTATTCAATGAAACTTAATGGGGTAGGTATTCTGTAAACTAACTTTGTACATAACTGTATTTGGGTTCAATTTGCAGAAATAGGGTCTGCAAATCTTTGCCAGCATTATAGCCATATTTCGGGAGGACTTGGTATGTGAGGTCCCAGGAAACTGGGTCTGATGGAATGAAATGCAAGCACAATTTCCCAGAGCCATTTAACTTGCTGTGGGGAGGAGGCACTCGGCAAGCTCCCATTGTGCAGCTCACTTAATCCAGGCACTTCTCTTCGTGTAGGTGGAGAGCTTTCCCCTCTTACACAGACCATTTGAGAAACCCCCCCGCTCCACTGTCTGCAGTACTGGCATTTGACTTTGCCGCTCACCCCGAAACACCCCGAGAAGTGTTCAGTAGCCTCTGGCACTGTCTTTGTAGGTGAGAATCAAACAGGGTGGACAACGTGTGGGATGGAGGGAAGGGCGGGCAAGTGTAGCCGCAGTTCTTCAAAGTGGAAATTCTTCCTGTTCCTTTTGGCAGCAAAACGCAACCCAGATTTGTTATAATGGTCAGGTCCCATGGGAAATCTATGCTATGGGTTTGGGTTCAGGATTTGGGAGTCAGATGTCATTGACAAGGGAGCAGGGAGTCTTGTGGATGCCAGATATGTTTTCCTTGAGTGCTCTAGGAAGACACTTTCCTGAGGTCCAGTTTGGAACATGAGTTGGGGGCGGGTGGAGGAACCTAGGACAAACTACTTTGGCAAGGGTCAGCCACAGGCTGAAGTCTTCACCACGTAGACAAGGATCAACATTTTATCCACCAGAACTGTTCTGCATGGAAGGGACAGGGAGCTGGGAACGTGTGACCCCGGCAGTGAACTTACCTGGACCAGGCGAACGTCAGCCTGCGAGAACTCAGGCTTTGAGCTGATGAGCGGCACTCTCAACGTGGAAAGGTGCCACATGGCCCGTACCAGAAGTCTCCAAAATCGAAAACAGAATAATGATGGCTCTGCTGAGTGTCTTCTCAGTTTTGGAGAAATGCTTGGGTCCCGACACAGCTTCAGGCCATCTTTCTGTTGTTCCCTGGAGTAACAGGCAGCCGGGGGAGAGAGTAAATTCTGCTGCAACTTTCTACCCTCAAGTTGAGATCAATTTTAATGGTTGAAATGTTTACTCTGCTACCTTGTCTCTCACCTCTTTATTCACCCCCTTTTCCCCATGTACATTGAAGACACATCTACTCAGATTTGACATCCTGATAACCCCCAATATATAAATAGGCCACCGTGTATTAATGTTTCTCTCAGTGTTTTATAGAAGCAACCTAACAGAAACACTATGTCAATGATGAGAGACCCAATGTAATATAGCTGTAATATACCTGCCACAGTCTTAAGATGTGAAATATAGTGGCTAGTTCACACAAGAGAGCTGTGTGAACCTGGGATGACGACGTCCCTTACGTTGGTTCAAAGAGCAGCTATCGCATAAAGAATTGACAAGGCAGTTAAGAGTCTACGTATCTAGTGCAGGCGGATCTTATAAATCTAAAACGTGATGCATTTTTTTTAGTGTTGGGGTGGCGACAATAATTTTGGGGGAGGGTAAGCTCCTTTTGATTTCCAAGTGCTAACTTGCGTGTTACCTTCCTGGCTTGTCACACCACCCACCGACACAACCAAGGGCAATTCTCATCCCCCCCGCGGTCTGTGGGCTTTCCCCACGGAAGGCCGTCTGGCACGGGAACGTGCCCCCTTCTCAAATGCCGTCACTCCTGCTGAGATAAATGCTCCTTGAAATACAGCCTCAGTGGCAGGACATTGAGGGGTGTAATGTACAGCATTCCTGGCCATCCACTTCTTTTTCATTTTGTGTTCTACCCAGAGAAACTCCCAACGGCATCTGTGGAGAAGTAAAGGAATGAGGTTCTCCCTCATTGAGCGAATCTGTTCACAGTTCACGATGTATTTTATGATGTCCAGTTTGGGAGTAGTTATTTTCAACAGTCTTAACTGTATTGTGCTCTTTTCTGATGCTGATTTTCGATCTTTCGTTTTATTGAAAATAATTGGTGGAAGGGGTGTGTCAGTTTGTGAAGTCTTTCGCACATGAGCCCCGAGGTCATGTTACAAGTCACCCCGTTCCTAGGGTCTCCTGGTACCTTGTGTTAGTTCATTAAAAAATAATAAAAAGAATTGTAAACACACCTTGAAAAACTGAGGCTAGAGATTATTTTCAGATGCCAAGGTCTCTTCCGGTTTCCTACATCGATCTAATCAGCTAGGAGGAGCATCGAGAATCACTTCCTTTAGCTCTATTTTGCACAGGGGGACCCGGAAAGGTTAAATGATGTGTCCAAAGTGAGGCGTAGCACTAGGAGTGGGTCACAAGGCTTGTGCTCTGTCTGTAATTCTGAGGTGAGTTGTCGGTCACTGATACCCTACTGCAGGGCCACCCACAGAGTCTTTGGGGAGTGGGACAATGTGACCAACCCTCACCTTCCATTTCCTGAGGCCAGTCATTGAAACCTCACTTGATTGGTTGACCTAAAATGAATGGGAGGGCCAGAAAAAATCAGTATTCATTTATTCAACAAGTCCACTTAGACCTCATCCAACACGTGTTTTCAGAACGGCTACCGTGGGTCTTGTGTTATATTAGGTCCCTGCCTCTAAGTGCTTTTCTTTCCACGTGGACCAAAGCTTTGTGCTTCTGTGGGTAGCGGCGTTGTATTTACTCACAGCCCTAAGAGCAATTTGGGAATAAATCATGCAGAGCCTTTGCCTTCGAGACACGCAGAACGGACATTGTATTTCATTTGCAGAGGCATAGCCGGGAAATTTAGATGCATGACTTTTGCACCAGCATTGAGGTTTCCAGAAAGGTGAATGATGAAATGAAACTGAGGCCAGAGCTATCCACAGAGGTTAAAGGGAGAAATACGAGTGCTTATAGTCAGTGCTAATTACAGAATGGACGGGACCTACTTGGCAGGCCCATAACGCAGTCCCTACCCTCAGAACGTTCAAGATGTGAACTGGGGAATGAGCATCTCACCTGAGAACACAAGCTGAGCTTTTCATTTACCTCTGGTCCTGGTGGATTAAAATACCGTATAGTTTTAGAGACCAGAAATATCTATTCCTTTAGAAAGCAAAGGTCTTTTAAGAGGTGTCTTCTACCAAAGTTCATGTGGTGGCCTTATTCACAGTGACCATGGCTCAGAAGAGCATGCCACTCAAAACCAACTGTCATGCCCCCCCACTTCCCACGTACGTATATAATCTCAGGAATTCAGATTTCTTTAAATCAGCATGTGTGATTTCAGTAGGGTACGAACAAAGGCCAGTGAAAATGGCGTTCCGGGAAAATTAGAATTTGGATCATATTGCAAAGGATTGCTTAAAAAATGCTCAGAAAAACAACTAACTGGTAAGCAGTCAATGAACAATTATAAATGGCTCTTACTCATGAAAGTGCTTCTCCTGAATAATTGCAAAATAAATTCTTTCGATCTCAAATATATTTGAAAGTGATGAAACTCTGCCTCTTCAAAATGTGTCTTATGGTTTAGCTTTTTTTTTTTTTCCAGTTTGGAGTCAGTCTGGGTGAGTCAAGAAATCCCAACTTTAACAAAAGTTTGGAGTAGATTGCCAATAGCTCATTTGCAGGTATTTATCCTAATGATTTTCATAAGGGCAGTTTGCAGAAACCTGCAGAAACCTGCGCTCCCGTGTAGTTTACAGTGGGACGATGGAAGTCCTGCAAGCTGCAGACTTGCCGTCAGGACACAGACAGCGCGTGGCTGAGATGTGTGACCGAACTGAGGTTGTGACAAGGGACGCAGGAAAAGGGTATTTTGTGGGTCGTCCTGAACAGACATGGGCATCCAGTAAGTCTAACAGATGGTTTTGAAAGGTAGCTCAACTACTGAAAATCACAGTTTGGGGAAGGAAGATGGAGGTATGTGTGACATATAATAATAAAAAATATATACCCCATAGCACATAGATTGATAGGAAAACTATTTTATTGTTTAAAATACATGTCATGGATTAGTCAGTTCTGACTCGAGCTCTTTTTCGCATAGGGGATAAAAGTCTAAAAAATACTTTAAAATTTGAAAGTGTGAAATATGTATAAGTATAATAAACACAGATTTGTCATGTTGATTCTGCTACATTTCTAATGGGCTGAATATTAAAATAACTGACCTGTGCCTTTCAGGTTTCAGAAATAGAGGAGGATTTAAGGGTATTTTTCTGCTTGAGCTTAGGTCCCAGATTTTTGGTCCATTTGAATCCTGGAGGTTCCCATGCTAAACAGACTAAGAGAGTGTCTGCATCATTTGTTACCATACTTCTCTGTTCTGGATGTGATGGGTGAAGCAGATAATGCAGGTTGAGGCATTAAGAAGAGCTCTTCTTAAAGTTTGCTGGTCCTTTTTTTCTGTACTGATTTATATTTACAAATATTTAGAATTTTTTTCTATCCCAAAACCATAAGGTAAACTCAGAAAGTGCAGACTAGTCTTTTGGGTCCCAGTGAGCAGTCGCGTGGGGTTAGAGGTTTTATTCCTTCTGGTGGGCGGGGAGCCTAGAGATGTGCCTGTTTGCGGGGGGCGGTGGAAAGAATCCAGATGTTTGCGGGGGGCGGTGGAAAGAATCCAGATGTGGGTGACTACTCATAGTCTTCCCTGAATGTTTGACTAGTGGTTTTGAATGTTTTCTTAGCATCACCGCTACAAAAATGGCTGTCTCAGTCCTTTGACTACAGGGGGCACTGGCCGCTTTTCAGATGTGCCAGGCTGAGTAGTAGAGATGACGTCGAGTTATCTCGAAACAAAGGTGATGAAGACCACCTCACCAGCTTTCCACAGTGGTCCTGGGAAGTGCTCTACGATTTGCAAAGAATACTTGGTAGGGACGGCAGGCATTTGTAATATCACGGCTGTTGATGAAGTGGGCTGACACACAGCCCAGGGAGGAAAGAGATGCTGAGAAGGGGGTGTGTAGGTGACTTGCAAAGGGACCCATTCCCTGGGTTGCAATGCCTTGACAACTGGTTGGATTAATCTTGCCCGTGTGCCCATCTGGAGCCGTTTGGGTGAGCCTGTAAATAACACCATGCCCAGTGAATGCAGCTACTGCACGATTAAGCTAATGCTGTGAGTGTGAAGTGACCGAAGTAATCTCTGTTTTCTCGTCATATTTTTCATGCTCTAGTGTCCCTGCCCCTTTACGTGTTTTTCCACCTGACCGTCCCCGGAGAGTGGGATTGCTACGCCTCTTTGCACTTCAGTGTATGAACGTAGCAGAAACATTTGGTTTGGTGAGTGGTAAATAAAAATTTTAACCTTGAATACTTTGTGATCCAAATACTAGCAAACACTTGTTGGGAACTTTTACTGTATGACAAGGGCCGCGATAAAGACTTTTGAAGACTGTCTTCTTTAATTCTTAGAATAACTTAGTGATATGTTACTTCTTCCCTCTAGCGACGGGGAACCTAAAATATAGGAAGGTGAAGTAACTCGCCAGAGACCATGAAAGCTGTTAAGAGGTGGAGCTGGCCCTTCATCACCAGGTGAACAGTGCAGCACGCTTACCCCACCAAACTTCCTCCCAGAGAAGGCTGGGTGTAAACTAGTCACTGGCTGCTAATGTTTCCAGGCCATGGGGACAATATTAACTAAATTAAATGCCATCTTAAGTGTGGAAGGGTCCATAGCACCGTGATCTTACAAACCTTTCTTTTTTCCTGTGCATTGTGACTCGCCCAGCATCTGGGACGTCAGTCTTGATAAATGATGGATAGAAAGATGAATAAACACCATAGTTGAATGGTGAGGGGCCATTCCTTAGGGTGAAGTAAAATGTCACATCCTAAAGGTTTAATCGCTGGGCTGATCCAAACGCTGACCTCACGCTGCAGCCACGGCCCTGGGGCAGGGTCTCGGAGGCCTCTGCTTTGTTGACCATTAAGGATCTGGTTATTGGAGGGTGGAGAGCCCTGGGCCGGGGGGCTCAGAGGAGGGTCCTGGTTCTTGACTGGTGGTGGAGGTACTCAGGGGACTTGCGGCAGTGGCTTTCTGCCAATTGGTATGGAAGCGTTTCAGTATTTTAACAGGGATGGGTGTGCCAGTGTGAATTCGCTGAACAGAAATCTTGGGAGAACAAATTCTCAACCCCAGTGCAGCGTCCTTGTCTGCCAGTGGTTCCCAAGGACCGACCAAGGACGACCAAGGCACCATTAATTGAAAAACTTGCTGAGGCTGGATTTAGAATCTACCAGGTATAGGGTTTGCTTTCCATTTACAACACTAGAGGGCAGTAGCTACCTTAGAAAAAACGGGTCTGTGCTCCAGGGGAGTTTAGCCCCTGCCCCAGTTTCTGCCAAGGGACATGAAACAGTTTTTGCAAAATATCGAATGTTTTCCCGCTATTCTTTAGGAGGCGTCTGAATGTGGAGATGATTCCAGAAGACATTTGCTGGAGGGCCCAAGATGTCCTTCAACGATCATTATATGCTTGAGCCTGAAATAGACTTTCCTCATCTTTGGGGACAATTGTCTAGATTCCGTTTCAGCATACATTTATTTTAAATGCTCAGGTGGACACACCTGGCACCATCTTGGCAGACAGCTGGCATTTAACCCCTGCTTATTTAACCAGTCCCTCACCACTTACCATTGCTGGGTAATTGCATGTAGGTAAAAACCTCTGGGTGTGCCTGGGAATTTGTGAAGATTAAGTGTTATAAACAAGGAAACTGAAGTGAGTGGTGCTTTGCATATTCACAATAGGTCTATGCAAGAATTGAACTCTTCCAGGTAGGGAAGATGTCAATTTTGGCTCGTGACTTTAACCATATTTAAATACACTGTTCTAACAGAGCTCATGGGAGCAAGTCTCTCCAGCAAACTGACCCACGGAACAGCGGTCAGATACATTGGGAGAAGCTTCATTTGGGAACCCAGAGGTTCCTGACTCCATGCCTAACTTGCGTGATCTAGGAAAAGGCTGTGAGGTCTTGGGCTGGTTGCTTAACCCCCGTTTTCCTCATCTTTAAAATGGAAGAGGTGGGTGCACGGCTGTAAGGTCCCTCCAAGTTTTGACTTCTCACAGTGGGAACAGGCACGCAAAGCAAAACACAGAAAGAACTTTCTGCGTGTGAGTCCTGCTAGAATGAAAGAAAGAAAACGCA